GAATTAGTCTAGACATTTGGACCATAGTCACCCAACAAATTACCAGCAAAATGACACTGATCCCGGACCAGATGATTTATTGGAAATCAAATCACTTCATTACACTTTGCATTTTTTAATATTTGTTCGCCCACATTTTTTTACAGTTCTTAACAATTGTCGCCATTCAATTTGTAAAAATTACAGAAAGTACTTAGTGTTTATTTGAGTTAATGCTATATTTTTAAATTACAATTATGTAGTACATCTAAACTAAAAACTATTTTAGATTTTATTTATCCCCATCATTCCTGACTTTCCAGTGTAAATAAATACCTACATATATCTGAATAAATCACATGGCGCCCAAATAATGACATTGAAATACTGGTTCTATATTTAATTAGAAAGGACCATACTAGAATCACCAATTTTTCGAAGGCTGTTGGAATGTTGCACAAATTGCTTTGGAATGAAATGGTCAATTTGATTTAAGTCTGGATATAACGCTGGTCGTTAGCACAAGGAAAATTTGTACCGTAGCCCTAAAGGTAAAATATCTTAAATTGTTACTTGGGGGACCATATACGACCGCCGCTGACTAGTGATTGGCGCACACCGCAGGAAAAGCAACTCTCACCCGTACTGTCCGTCCCGTCGATCTCGGAAGTTGACTGCATAGAGGTGACGAGCGAATCTTCTACCAAGTGAGAGTCAAACACTATGCTGTCTACGCTTCTATTAGTGCCAAGGATTGCGCTCGTGCCAGTGCCGCTTACACTATCTGTGCTGGTACATGCGGACAGTTACTGACTATGGAAATGTCCTGGCCGGGGTCCAGAGATAGCGGCGGCTCGAATACCACGACGAACCACGTATACGGAGGCCATCTCGGACCCCGCCGTAAGGTCTCGGATTAGGTCGCCGGAATTCATGGGGAACGTTACATGTTGGAAACAAACTTCGCCTTATCGCGAGTTCGAAGCTGATCTGGGCGCGATAACTGGTCCGTGATATTTAAGGATTGTTTCGCAGGGCAGGAATCGATGCTTGGTTCAAGGCGCAGGCGATTAACCCGTACGGAACGGTTACAGTAGAGATAAAAAGTCCGCACGGTTCATTTCATTGACTGCGACCTTGAGGTGAGCTTTGATAATTAGTGAAGCATGTACGGTATATCTCTCTGTCTCCTTAAAACGAAGAGTTAATTAGCCAATCAATAGACATGCTTCAACTAAATTTATACTTGTTTATTAATATATTTATTTATCAGCTGTAAAACAGTAAAAATATGTTTAAAATTAAATTTCCTGTAATACTGGCAAAACTATTTTATAATTGGTATACTAATAAAAAAATCTATATCATATTAAGAGCGCCCTACCCTTAGTCTTGCCCTTATTGGGCTTCCAACAATTTCATATTTTTACCAATTAAAGATAACAATAATCGTAAATCATGTACCAAATTTGGTCGCTCTATGTTAAGGCATTGCTGAAATATTGTTTTCAAAATGTAATACTCATATTCAGAGGTACATCCCAGAAAAAAATGTTACAAAACAGATCGGTAGATTTTAAGATCCTCTACACGTGCCTGCTCTGTGTCGGTAGAGTTATGAAACACACTGTATGCTTTATTAAATCAGAATCAATCTGAAAATCAAACAGATACATAAAACTTTCGTTAATGGCAGAACTTCTCACAAGGCTAATTTATTATCCATCGAAGTTTGTTTCCAAGTAACGACATGAACGTGCTCAGTGACCTTAATCGTGACAAGTTCGATAGACAGTAAATAAAAAGTGCAGTGACAGGAAAGAGAGGTGTAGATATGGAGACAAGGAAGCACATGTTGTGGGGACAAGGGTCGGATTGTTAATGTATGATATAAAAATCTCGGATGTGTCTCTTTGTCGAGCCCGCTACTGGTCTCAGCGAATCCAATGCTTCATGCATATTGTGCTGCGAAATTTATGGGATATCTAACGATATTTCAACTATATGTGCAGAGGGATGATAGGACAACTATAAAGAAAGAAATATGATAGCGTTTAATGGGCCATTGTCTTCAAATAGCTTATTCTCTATGAAAACTATTTTTTGATTACCTACAGATCTACAAATAGATAACGCGACAAAGTTTCTATTGCTTTCGTTTAACAAATTTTGTTTTATTAGTACTAAAAAATGCAATAAATATGTCAATTTTTCAAGATTTCGAGATCAAAATAAGAAAAGTAATTCTTAAACCTAAAAATAAATAACAAACATTCTTTTTATCAAGCCTTTAACTGTCTAATCGAAACCATAAAGCCATCTCAAGGGTCAATCTCGACCAAAGTAGAGACCCATCTCCGAAGGGACTCAAACTAGACGAACATCGCTACAGGACCTTTACTCGCAGGAGGCCTTCACAACTTCTAGAAGTACTCACAGAAGATCTCAAAACAAGTGGGCAAGGCAAAGCAAAAAGAAAAGAAAGTGATACAGTCACTAGGTACTCATATTTGACGTGTCCAAAACCATATTTAATGCAACCAGGCTCAGTTGAAGGACTCCAAATCCGTGCCATCTCGAGGGTGGACAGAGTGGAAAAAGGCGAAAATAAAAAAAATTCATGACCATATCTCCAAGAATTTACCACGTCTTCAGGCAGGAGAAATCTCAGCACTGTCTTTCAATATTAGAGGTAATCTCCGAAGAGAAAAAATGATCATGAAAGACGACATGGCATCCAACGATGTAAGATGACGTGGCGCCCAACGTGGGGTCCGAATGTCCAAAACACCATGAGGATGTGATGGAAGATGACAAAAGGCTACAACTGCTTTGCGATTTTTAGGACAATATGTTCATAAGAATTTGTTTTCTTATTTTGATCCAAACTATGAGCTACGCGAAGTTAGGTGCTATATTTTTTGACACTTTGTTATCTATCAGACTATTTTTTTATCAACACAATTACAATTTACAAACAGATAACGGAAAAGAACTTTGTCAAATTCGTGTTATACACATGTTGCTATCTCTGGTGGAAACGAAGTATCTAATTCTTTTACTAATTAAATCCGTGGGGAAATTCTATCCACATTGTTAGTAAATATCCGCGGAAGGGTATGCGGAGTTGGAAAATAAAATATTTTTATGTGCCTAGGTATAATAAAGGTTCTTGCATGTTAAGGCTGTATTAATTACGAGGCCTGCAACTGGACGCGGTTCTAAAAAATCTTATTGATTTGCTCGTAACGAGTCCACATTTACTACGGCACAGCATAAAATAATACGTTTATAAATATTAATACAGTGGCATTGTTCCAATATTAATTAAGAGAGTAGTTGTATGCCTAGAATTTTTGAAATTAATTTTGACATACATTGCTTTTTAAAATTTAATTTACTGGCATTTCATATCGAATAAATACAAAAGTATCATTCCTGTCACTTAGTTTGAGTTAAAATATCACATTGCGAAAAACAATACTGTTTATATTAGAACTGAATCTAAAATCCTCAAAATTATTCTCTCTTCCACCTTTACTTTGGACGTTTACATAGGGCAATATATTGACTGATTGTGAGATGAACTTTGCTAGTCCATTTCTCGTTCCTTATTTTAGTACACAGAACATGTCACAATTAACAGATTGTTTTGAAATTTGGTGTAGTAAATGCCACCGTCTATTGATACTCCATGTTACACTAGAGGGTGTCCCACCACAAACTCCATCGATGGATTTGTGAGAAACTGCAAGAAGGATTTTTTTGAAATTGTGATGGTGTGATACGGACCATAGGGCCTACTAAGCTAAAATATTTTCAAGGTCATCGTACTTCCGGTTATACCGGAAGTCGATACTAACTTTCTTATTTTAAATGAAACCCCTGTATATTATTATTACATTTTTGGAAAGAACATCTATTTTTAAGTTGAAAACATATGACACACTCCATGCTTAGGATTGACCGTTTCCGAGATATTTTGATTTTTAAGCAAAAATTGACAGATGCAGACTGTCAGAGAAATTTAGTTTTCCCGGAAACATAGGTTTATTTTTTTGAAAATTTTCCAGTTTTTATACAGGGTGGTCAGAAAATTGATCGAATATGAAGTTCAGAAAATGTGGAAAACTCGAAATTTTTAAATGGAAACCTCTAATTTTTTAACGTATTTGCATTATGCATTCAAATTAAGTGTAACTTTGTTAAAGTTTCCCTTTACCTAAACCCGGTGGTTTTCATTTTATTTACGAATAAACATTTCCCTTTTCTTAAAATGATTTTTCCATTTGTTAGGCCAGCCATATGTTTTCAACTTAAAAATTGATGCTCTATCCAAAAATGCAATAATATACAGGGGTTCCATTTAAAATAAGAAAGTTAGTATCGACATCCGGTATAACCGGAAGTACGATGACCTTGAAAATATTTTAGCTTTCTATGCCCCACGGTCCGTATCACACCATCACAATTTCAAAAATATCCTTCGAGCGGTTTCCCAGATATCTATCGATGGAGTTCGTGGTGCGACACCTTGACCAATTATTTTGTTTTGACGAGAATAATAATAATTATTATAACACCCTGTGTATAATGTCGTTTCTGATATTTACAATGAAAGTTTTAAAAGCATGATCTCCAGTTTCACACTGACTGTATCTGAAAGCGAATAAATAAAAAATCCTGGCTTCCGGCCAAGCGAAATATTTGTGGATTTCATTCGAAAGGCATAATCCTATCTGTGCGTCCCCATGTCACGCTGTTAATCGTTAGATATCCCTTAGTTACAGTGCCGCAAATTCATAAACCCGATAAAAAATGACCATGCAAAAATAGAAAATGGGAAAACATAATAAATCTCGACTAGCATGCATCACTCGATGAAAAAAACAACAGAAGATTTAAAACAGTTTATCTGCATCGCGAAAATACGGCCGACAGTTCAACGCGGGCTTTTATACGGTCTACGGTCGCGTCGTTGTTATTTGGACGAACGGGGGTGGGATGGGGCAGGGCAACACTTGAGAGAGGCTATGAAGAAGGACTCACCTACGCAGGGGTTGTGGTTCACCATGCTGAAGATGCGGTCACACCTCTTCTTCATGTGGTTGTTGGGGCAGATGCAGCCGAACATGGGCGACTTTCGCAGATTGGTCCATGACTCGTAGCAGAGGTCTCTAAAAGGTCACAGCATAAAAACGCAACAGTAATAAAGAAGTAACTAAATACACTACTAAAAAATAGAAGGTACAGTCTGTTTGATGGCTGGTGACGTTTAAACGGCTGGTAACAGGGCTCAATTCTTTTAAGATGAGATCTAACCTAGAGACTTATTCATGTTAGACCAAGCAAATTAAATTTTTACTCGAAAAAAGTCCTATCCGCGAGATTATTGTAAAATTGTCTAAGGAAACATAATACAAGACATCTCTCATCTCGTGAGTCAAAAACTTTTATTAGCTAACTTTTCTATTTAAACAAATAAGTGAGGAAAACAGTTTTTCCACTGCAGGGAAAACCATCAATTTTAGCGAAAAGTGACTCTCAGACAGTTTGTAGGGAGTAAAATTATCTACAAAATGAGACTTGTTAAATTAAAATCGGTTAATAAACAAAAAAGTTATTGCAAAGAAATAAGAAAAGTGTCCATTTTTAAATTTGTTTATAACTATCGCATTTATTGTTAAAATTTTATAAAACCTATGACAAGTTGAGAGTTTTAGGTACAATAGTTTTCGCACAATTCTATTTGTTTATAATGGTTTATAAAGTTATGAACTTTAAGCCTCTGTACAGGCGTTAATTTTCAACCAAACATGATTCTGAAGGCGTCATTGTAATCTTAAAGACGTAATTAAGCGACCTATTAAAAAATATCACCGTTTTTTTGACATTAACATTCTCAAATTGTGCATTAAAAAACTGTGCGTTTTTCGCTTATAAACAATTTGAATAACAT